GAAATTCCTTGCCACCATGTTGTGACCTTGGTTACATTCCTTAAAAGTGACTAAAAATAGTACTTTCTTAGTACTTTTCAAGGCTTAAGGGATTACAATAACAAACAAATGTAATTTGTTGCAATATTGTATACAATACAATTTGTATGCCTTGTGATTTTTGGCTTTCTTGTTTTTTTCTGCAGTGATCGCGAGTACATTTTCCCCCTTTTGTTATCTGCTGTGACATAATAAATTCTAATTAACTGATTCCATCGTACCCACAAATCATTTTTACATACTCCACCAGCGATCAAGTGACGATTCAGAGACCAATTTCAACTTACAATGGGAACTATTGCTGTACGAAAACCGCACAGTGCCAGAAATCCACATTCGTACACATAACTTAGCCCCTAAGAGCACTTGCGGCGCAGCACGCAGAACACAGCCGCCCACGTATTCGCCGCAACATTCTGTTTGCACTCGTCGTTTCTTTCGAAGTACATTTGCTGCAGCCTTAGTGCAGCCTCAGTGCAGCCCGTCAGTCGTTCTCTCTGCTTGTGGGCATAAATCATTTGCAGCGATCTTCCGAGTTAGGGAGTGTGGCTGGGAAATACATAATAGCTTATTGCGGTGGCTGTAAAGAGTTCTTGCCGAATATGGCATTCACGCCATTTCGTCTTTTTGCATTTGTTGCATAGCCTTTGTGCTGAATCTTATCTTGATTGCCGCAGCGCGTTCAAATGTAAGAAGTGTTACTGTGGCGGCAACAAGTCGCAGCGATCACTGTTTATACGGTTGCACAAGGAATTAAGAACATTAAAAACAAGTAAGGAAGGGCTAAGTTCGGATGTAACCGAACATTTTATACTCTCGCAAAGTCAAATAGTATACTCGTTTGAGATTTCTTTGTGGATTGGCTGATATTTTCGGTAGAAGGTCAACTATAGGCACTGGGGTCCACATATTTAGTACTTAGGGGCTTAAACAGTTTTGGTTCGATTTAGACAATTTTTGGCCACAAGGTGGCATACTTTAATCGCATTATTCACGCAAAGTTTTATCCCGATACAGTCATTGTTGCCTGATTTGCATAGTGGAAAGTAAAAGAATCAGATGGAATTTAAAATGGTGTTATATGGGAAGTAGGCGTGGATTAGTCCCATTTTCGCACTATAACATAGAAATATGAAAAGAACGTTATGCACCGAATTTGGTTGAAATCGGTTAAGCAGATCCCAAGATATGGGTTTTCACCTAAAAGTGGGCTGTGCCACGCCCACTGTCTAATTTTGAACGCGGTTCCTATAAAGTCATCTCATACCATCCCAGAGATAAAATTTAATGACTCTGGCGTGTTTAGTGCTTGATTTATCGCGCTTTTAGTAGTTTTTAACAGTACCGTTATATGGGGAGTGGGCGGAGTTGCCACCCGATTTCAACTATTTTCACACCGTCAATAGAAGTGCTAAAAATATTTGCTTCCAGTGAATTTTGTTATTATAGCATTAGCGGTTTAGGAGATATGCACATTAAACCTATTAGAGGCGGGACCACGCCCACTTTTAAAAAAAAATTTTAACTGCAGATGCCCCTCCCCAATGTGATCCTGTGTACCAAATGACAGTCTTGTATCTTATTGCGGAGCTTAGTTATGGCAAGTTATTTGTTTTTGATTAATGGCGTTTTGTGGGCGTGGCAGTGGTCCGATTACGCCCATCTGCAATACCAACCGTCTCACGGTACCATGAAACATGTCTACCAAGTTTCATAAAGATATCTCAATTTTTACTCAAGTTAGAGCTTGCACGGACGGACGGACAGACGGACAGACGGACGGACAGACGGACGGACGGACAGACAGTCACCCGGATTTCAACTCGTCTCTTCATCCTGATCATTTATATATATATAACCCTATATCTAACTCGATTAGTTTTAGGTGATACAAACAACCGTTAGGTGAACAAAACTATTATACTCTGTAGCAACAGGTTGCGAGAGTATAAAAATGGTATTAAGCGGAGCAACCGTATATATAGATATAGACAGGGTGGCCCTTAAATATATGAAGAATATTTTTTCGGTAGAAGTTCAAACACCAACAATACACTAACATATATATTTTGTTGTTCCCGATTATTTTAGAAAAACTTCTTGAGCTCACTGGGCGGTAGTTAATAGTTTTTTGAGTTCGTATCGGATGGAACTACCGTAAAAAATAAATATTTTTAAAAAAATTTCGAGATTTTTTTGGTGCCATTAAAAATAAATAAGAAGTACACGTAGACCGATTTCTTTATTTTCCTCGACAGCTTTGTAAGGATTGTTGACAGTTTTATAGAAACTCAAAGTATGTATAAACGGAACAATACTGGCAGTAATCGGAAAAGAGCTCTAGACAATCTAATTCAGACAAATAAACGACCAATTCGAGTTTAGTATGAAACTATAGGTACGAAATTATAAGTCAGATAGGAAAGAGGTGTTCTGGTTTCTTAAAAAGGTAGAATAAAATCACCAAAAATGTGTCTTTTTGAACTACAGAATTTCCTACAGGGATAGCTGTCAAATTAATTACATAGGCTCGAAATTTATGTTCATGGCAAATAAACATGGAAACGGAACAACGGAACAACGTTTAAAAATCATATCGCCAACAACATCACAAATAAGTCGCTACTATTTCCCCACCTCAATATCGTTGTCCAAATGTTAAAGAGTTCTAGAAAGTTACGGCAACAAACCGTACATTCTATGGGACTAACTATTCATCACCGAAACATGTCAAGAAATGAATCTGTCAATTGATATATGATTTGACTCCATTAGGTTACTTTTTGTGGGGAAAAGTCAAGCAGATGAACCAGTTACTACCTGTATTAACCATTCGGTGCATCATTTAGGAGATAAAGGATTTGTGCAAAATTAGGCCAACAAGATATTATTGCTAAAACAAAAACGGGCGTCGTAAGTCCAAGGTGGCCAACCCAGACATTGTTTTCAATCTTAAATACACTATTGGAGTCTTAATCATGAAAAAAAATGTTCATCTACTATATATTATTATGAAGCTTGTATTAGATACATTGTATGTATTTCACTATCATTAGATCCTCATAGCGAACCACTATCATGCTTGATATATGTAGTAGTTAATAGCGTTGTTCGCCTACGAACAAATTTAGTGCTTACCTATATATTCAGGGAATTTTGAAAAGAAAGTAATTTTCTATTAGAAATTCACACCAAACTTTATATTTTATTATTGCACATACATATAAATATGTATATGGGCATCTGTATAAATAACACAAGTATTTTCAAGGGCAAACCGCTTTTTCGAAACATTAAATGTATACTTATATGGATTCACAAACACAACGCACATGTTCGTTTTTGCTTTGACGCTGATGTACCCCATGCGTGTGCGATCCTCCTCCTTGGCCGGCCAGCCAGGCTGGGACCACTAACCGGTCTCCCAAACTACGCAAAAGTGGCAAAGTGGCAGTGGCAAGTTGTCAGTGCGCTTTCAACGCTCGCATTTGTATTTCGTGTATGTAAGTTTGTTTTTGAATACTTTGTATAAATTACATACATATACTTGAATACTTTTGTTTTTCAATTCGATTCCAATACAAATTTCGTATATTACCGCCTTATTCAAATAAATCAAATGCTGATAGCGGCAGTGATCTATGCAGCATCATGTCTTCTTATTCTTTTTGTTTAGGTGCATATTTATTTACATTCAGAATACAGAACAGAATCCACGCATACGCGACACCAAACTAGAAAATTATTCATTGCGGCTTGAAGGGTTAAATTCGGGATTGCCTCAATAATCGATTTAATGGACTGCTTGGATTTAGTCAGATTTCTGGGTTTTGTTTTGTACACCTCTTGCTTGACATAACCTCATAAAAAATGGTTGGTGCAATGAGGTCAGGTGAACTTGGAGGAAAGTGGAGTTTCTTGATATTAATTGGTTTTCAAATTTTCGCTGGAGCTTCGCAATACTGGTCTGGCTATGTGTGCAGTTGCTCCATCTTGCTGGAACCAAACTCATTCAACATTTTTAAATAATTGTGCCCATTGACAGTTAATGTTACACCGTTTTTTTTTTCAAATAAGTATGGCCCGACAATACAGGGTTAACCGGATTGTTATTTGAACTTGGTGCGGAAACAGGTTTAAGTTATCTTGAATTATCCGTTGTAATGACCGTCTGCTAACTCGAAACTCTTGGATTTGCCTTAATTGACGATGCAACGGCCGCGATTGTTTCTTGAACACGAACGTACGGATCTCGATGGTACGGTCTACTTGGGATACTTTTAGTTTCGGCAAACATATTTACCAACCTTATAATGGTCTATCTACTCGGGGGTTTGCCGCCTTAAATCCCGTCTGAATTCCCTTTGGATGGAAATGATGGACTGCAAAGCATGTTACCGCTGCACTATCCAAACCCTCTTTTCGGTATTCATATATTCTGATAGGCCATATTACTTATATAAATAGAGTCCTTTGCTCAGGTCTCTTATAACAAAAGCGTGGTATTTGCTCTAGGAGTTTGATATGGGACTTTATTTTATGGATCATATCATACTAATGCTCTCTGTGTTAGAATAGGTGTGAAGTCAATCCCGGAAAGCAAATACCTCAGCAGTCGTATAGTGCCCAGAGCTTTGGGGGCTCTACAAAAAGTATGTACTAATCGGCTGAGTTTCAGATTATTTTAAGTGTATTTTTCTAGCAATTGCTGTCTTAAGTCAGTTTTTCTGCTCTGCAAACGAATATCTCGAGAACTCTGACAATTACCCGAGTTAAAATAATGGATCAAAATCATAAAACAATAATAATTTTTACACGAATAAATTGCGTTTTAATAAAATACACAGATGCCACTGGTGTAAATAAAATGACATCATGCGATTTCAAACTTAATCAACTAAGAAGCTCAAATATATTTTGTTTATATGTTTACTATATAAATGAATATTTAAGCAAATGTAGGCATATTTTGAATCCATACATATCTATGTATAGATACTGTCAAGCTTATGCATATATGTATGTATGTATGTGCATTGATAAATTAGATTTTTCGAAAAGTGTCACATGTGTTTCTGCCATCCAGACATACCACAAACAAGAGATCTCAAGATTCCAACGCAATAAAAAAAGCTTTGAGGCAGCAGCAACAGGGTCAGACAGTTGGGTGAGAAGATGCGGAAAACATGTGAGCAATTATTTTTTCTTCCTTTTAAATAAGTATATATGTACATACATACGTGTATATGACTATATTATATATGTATATGTTTCTACATGACATATAAAGCAAGTGACATAAAACATACACGTTGGAGCTCATTAAAAATCGTAATAAATTAAAGGAGTGAAATGAACCACATACTATGTGAGTAGATATGTAAGTGTGTATATAGAGACATATGCTAAATAATGTATCACAAAAAAATTACAAATACCAAGTATTTATGTACATATGGCTGTTTGTTGTTTGTCAAAATATTTTCCATTATTGTTTGGTAAATTAAAGTTGTCGAAAGCAGCGTTCCGACATCTTATCGAATTCGTATAAAAGTGCTGTGTCAAGTTGGGTTATAAATTAATTTGAAATTTTTTTGTCAAATGAAATTTTTTTCACGCTTCGCAGGCCTATCAGAACATGATTTAGTGGAAATTCGCCGAGACCAGACCGAAATTTTCTTGAAGCGCTGCTAACCCTTCGCGCGTGACGCCAGCTGTGTTGAAGAAAGAAATCAAGTGGAGCGTCAGGCTTATTAGTTCTAATGCTAGCTTCAAGTTTTTAAAACTTCCCTAATTTAACTCTTTTTTGGTTGACTCTTACTGCGCGATATCTGTTTCCAATTAAAAATATATGTATATACTTACCTTTTTTTATACGGAAAAATTGCAGCAACTTTGATGTTGTTTTTGATGAATTACACCCAGGAGACAAATTGCTACAGCCTCCCCTGCGGGTCGCAGCGCAGTGGGCGGCATGAAAACACACAAATTTTGTTGTTATTTTTTATGCAAAAACTCGCAATTAAAACACATTTTTGGGTTCAATGCGAGCATTTTTCATTTCATAGATTCGGCGTTTTTGCGGTTTCCTCAAGTGGAAAATGTACTGCATCATCGTTGTTGCACTGTGTTGTTTTGTTGTTGGGGCAAAGGTAAAGGCTTGTCGCTGTTGCTTAGTCACCAACAGTTGCAAAGAAAAAATCTAACTTTTTTTTTTTGGTTATTTTGTTGTAAAAATTTCGCATTTGCATAGCATTTTTAAAGGCGAAGGAGGGAGGAAAAATATTTTGCTTTAATTACCTTGGCAAGAAATAACACACGCTTGTCCCAAATTAGTCGTGTGGCAGGCAACAAAGCACTATGTAGCAGCAACATAAACGCCCGCAGCTATGCAACAACAAAGCAAAACAAACGATAGTGCGCTTGCAAACAACCAAACAGGATGCTGGAAATGGAAATTGAATTTAAAAATTGCCGAAAAAATCGAATTTGTACCAAAAAATTATAAAAGGAAATTCACCACAAAAAAAACAAAAAAATAGTGAAAAAGTACAAAACAAATTGAAGTAAAGGAAACGCAAAGAAAACCTGCACAAAAACAAAAAGTCAATACAGTTATCACACCAATTTCGGCAGGGTTGAATTTTCCAACAGCCGGCGCTTTAGCTCTATTCGAAAGGGTTGAGTTACATGGTCTCTTTGCACACAAATACATGAAAGGGTTAAACATGGAAATTAGGTCTATAATTTATAGCCTCTGCTTTTTAGAGAAAAAAATTTAATATTTGGTATAAAAACCTATATTTGAATATATTTTCATAATGAAAGCGGCAAATATAAAACTTACAAGACACTGCGTTTCCACACTTTTTTTGTTCGCTTCATCCTAATTAAGTAGTGCTTCGCACATTTCTCAACGCGCCATAAAAATGATTTATTATGTAAATTTTTAATAAGCATAATTGTTAAAATATGCCACCGAAACACACTGAGTCGACGGAATAAAGGGAAAGGAGGTCCTACTGTTGGCTTTTGTGCATATGTCATAATCTGAATGGGGTTAAACGGTTGGAAAAGGCGTTGAATTGCTAACAAATTGGAAAATGGATTAGAGTAGCTGAGGGAAAGATTTACTTAATTGAAATCCGAAAGAAAAATTGTTGTGAGAGAAATGGCAGAGAAGTAATATCTTAACACGTAGTAAACTATAAAGTTGTTTATATAATAGAAACGTTTAAAAATATTGTTAAATAGATACTATCCTCAAGACCTAAGTCCTTGATTAAGGAAAGTTTAACTATGCTATTCAGAAGGATGAAAATTTAATGAAAAGAGGCGAGAAGCCACAGAAATGCTATTTGAACGCTACAAAAAGTAGTCGTTTTCGCATCGGATTGTGAGTGGTGATGAAAAGTGGATCCAATATGGCAACCCTAAACGCATATATGAAACCTGGCCAACCAGCCAAGTCAACCGCAAAGTCGAATATACCTAATAATAAGGTAATGCTCTGTATTTCTGAAATCGCGTAATACCATTAATGGGGAAGGCCACCGATAACAACTCATCAAATTGAAGCGTGCGATTGCCAAAAAACATCCGGTATTTGCGACTTGGGAAGGGACAATAATATTCCATCAAAACAACGCTTGGGCTCATGTTGCAAGACCGGTTAAGAACTATTTGGCAAATAACGGCTGGAAAGTTTGGCCTCACTCACCTTATAGCCCTTTCCTTAGCTCTTCTGACTACTATTTAATCCGGTAAATTCAAAATCATCTCACTGGAACACTGTTCACAGGAGAACAAGGTTTCAAAAATAGACTTGATGCAATCTTAGTCGCCAGGCTGGCGCAGTCTTTTTGGTATGGAATCCACAAATAACCAGAATGATAGGAAAATATTAAAGCTTTATATGTGCAATACTTTGAATAATTCTATTGCATATGTTTTAATTAAAAACAAAACAGTATACTAATGGGTATTGTTTCAGACGTGAGATTTTTCATGAAACAATACTTTTTTCGCGGTTAGTCCTTTTGACAGCTGTTACTTCATTTATACTTAATTTGGTGTGCCCACCCATTTTATGAAAGCTTTTATAGAACAATCTGGGTGTGCTGGCTTACAAAATCCAACTCGTGCAAAAATTTTAAGCCAAACGACCATCAAGCGCAACGCTTGTTGGGTGAATGGGCCCAAAACGAGCCATCGATCTTAATTTTCAAAAGAAAGGTTTGTTCAGTGATAAAGCTCACTTTTGGTTGAATGGGTACGTTAATAAACAAAATTTTCGTATTCAGAGTGATGATAATCCACAAGCCATTTTTGAGCCGCCGTTACATCCTCAAAAGTCATTGTTTCTTGTATTTTATGGGCAGAGAGAGATTGATTTACATTTCTTCAAAAGTGAAGCCGGCCATAATGTTACAGTCAATTTAAAATGTGGACCGTGATTAATAACTTTTTCGTGACTAAATTAGAGGATGATGATGTTGACGAACTTGGTTCCAACGAAACAATCCCTTTATTGAAGGAAACTTTTGGTGAGCGTATTATTTCGCGTCGTGGGCCCATGATATGGACTCCAAGATCGTGCGATTTAACACTGCTAAACTATTTTTTGAGAGGCTATGTTTAAGGATATATGTAAGTCCGTGACGATTAACGCCTTGGAAAAGATTATATTCGGCGCGTTATTGCTGAATTACGAGCCCAATTGCTACAGACAGTGGTCGGCAACTCGGCTGGAATTTATTCGAGCCAGTCGCAGCGTTTGCTTGCCAGAAATAATTTTTGAAGCAAAATGGCAAACCATTATTTCCATAATAAAACTAAATTCTTGGTCATCGGATTAAATTATATGCGTTTTATTTTTTTCTTGCAAATCACATGTAAAAAAACACTTTACTTAAACACCAAAATCATAAAAATATTATACTCCAAAATTTCAAAATTTTTTTCAACACACCATGTTTAGTTGCGTGGTTGGTTTAACAACTCGATCCACCAAATTTTCTGAAATTGGAACATTGGAAATCGTGGAATATATCTCCTCTTAACCGACTTAAGGTTCTCCGTTCATTAAGCGAAAGGTTCATAGTAGTCTAGATTAAGTTTTTGTGAGTTGGATTATCTCTAAAATCAGCTGTCTTCGAGTCGCCATTTCTCTGCTCGTTTCTGCTATTTTGTCAAAATAAACTACATGTAATAGCAGCAACAAAGTTATCGAGTTGAATTCTCTACAAGAGAGTATGCGGATACCTCGTTACATTGGTATAGCTACTATCTTCAATACTACAAAGTTTTGTTTTGCATATTTTGGATCACTTTTACTATTGTGAACGATTCAAATGACAAATGAAAATACAAAATAAAACCTAAAATCAATTATAATATTTTATAGAAAAAAAAGACGCTTTTTTACGCGAAAAAAATAATTTATCCACTAAGAAAGAGTCATAACACTATTGTGCATGCGACAGAAGACATGTTAGCGCAGAGATGCATCACAAGTGCTGGCCTTTTGTTTAAGCACCTGGTATAGTTTTTTCGATTCGCTGGAGAGTAACGTCTTCGCTGAATCGAAGACAGCTAATATCAAGTATGTATCTTCACAATAAATAACTCTCCCAGAGAATTTATTAATTTTTGTTTTGAATGAGCCGTTCAATGCAATGGATAGGGGACTGGGTTCCAAAAAGACAAGTTCGCATACGCGATAATTATTTATAACAGGCTCGTAAAGGCCCTAGAAAAAATAAGAAAACTAGCGAGCTGAAATAAACTCAGATCGAACAGAAGTTGCCAAATGATAGAAAACACAAAACATAGAAGTGATTGAAACGTAAAGACTCTGCAAGTCAATTCTAAAATGGAAAGTGCTACTTTTATAACTTCTTTCATTGTAGTTGTGTGGTATTTTCTCATGGTCAATGTTGCATGCAGTGTTGCTGTTTTGATTGCGGCATTTTGCAATGCCTCGACAACTGCGCTAAATATACATAAGTTTTTATGTGCATATATATGTATGTTTGTTTGTATATGTGTATGTCTCATCAGAGCGTTGCGACAGACGTTGAAGTTCCAACGCGTATCGAAAGCAACGCACTATTTTTGCCACGACTTCTCTGCCCTACTCGCCGACGTGCCTGTAGTGTTCCCTGCATGCTCCTAGCCAAGTTCACTCGATCTTGTCTGATCCCAGCGCGGCGTGTTGCGCTTGAGAAATAATGCGGCATTCGATCCATTTCGCTATTGTTTGTCGTTTTTTCTTCTTCTTGCTTATTTTTTGTTGCATTTGCCTTACTTTGGAAGTTTTTCACTTTCAATGCTTCGCTGATTGCACAACAATCTCATCGTGCTGTGAAAAATGGCAGCAGTTACGGCAACATCACCAACAACAGCGACAACGACAACAACAACAACGTTGAAGTTGGCAAAATTGTTGCGAAACTATGCAATTGTAGCAAGTTAAAAGCATTCATAGGTGCAACGCGACGCCGCTGTAGCGGCCACGGCCCAGTGGTGGCAGTATGTCAGCCCTAAAACAACAACAACAACAATTACAACAATAAAATGCTAAGCATGTGGCAAAAAAGGAGTAATGCGATTAAAGTAAGGCAGGAGGTTTGTCGGCAATTGTTGCCGCACAACCCGTCCGCTTGGCTCCACAACAACTCACCAGTACTTCCTCGCCGATCGGCTTCACTCGGCGCTGTACTCCAGCTGCTCACACACTTCGCTTGCATGTGTAGTGTACACCTTGTTCTTGCATTTTTTTTGCTTTTGTCTTTTCAGTCAGCACCTTTGGACCATCGGCCATGGCCGCACACAATAGGCGTTTAATTATTTTTATCGTCAGCTAAATTCCAGCCATTACATGCGTACGTATGTGTGTTTGTACTGCTGCTGCTTCTCATTTTCGCGTACATAAATGTGGAGTTTGTGTACACAACTTAAGCCTCTCACTTCGGCCTAACTGGTTGATATTTGGTGTCCTTTACTTCCCTCGATAATCTTTTTCATTTTCACAAAATCGTGATTTTGTTATCAGTTGCAATCACGTTTCGTATTAACTGAATTCGATATTGAGCATTTATTGGTAACAGGGTTGCCACATCTTAAAAGATCATTGTTAAAAACAAAAATACCGCCAATAACTGTAGAAAAAAGGCTACGTTCTTAAAATCAATTTATTATGTAAGAAATTATACTTGAAATGGTGTTCTCTCTTTCATGCTTTTGTTGTTTTAGCCTCTCAAAGTTGAATAGGGGTTCAGACCTCGTAAAACATTTTTGAAACGCTAGTGCATATGTTAGTTATGCCGCAAAATTAAATACGATTAACGCTCTTCCTCAGCATTCATCAATTTCTTCGTAAACAACAAAGTTTGTTGATTTGAGCTTAATATGTAGAAAGGAACGTTATTGTACGCGATTTTATGAAAATCAGTAGATTCTAAGGAAGTTCAAATCGGAATATAACTCATTGCAATTTATCGGTATAACAGACAGTCTAATTGTATTATTTTCTATAGGTTCCATCGAAGGCGATACACCGATTTTGGTAATCTTCTAACTTTTCACACGAGTATAGAGATCCCTCAGCTTTGCGATACTATTGTGAAATGATTGAAAATTTGCTTGAGAATAGCCTTCAATCTCAGCGATTATTTTTTCCAGCGATCATTTTTCATTTTTGTGACATCTGTGCACTGAAAAAATCTTTTGGTTATCAGGTCCAAAAAATACGATGAGTGCCTAAGCCATTCCATATTTTATACCGGCGATTATGCCGACTAGTACCCGAATTTTCGTAAGCGATATGTT